AAATTAGTAGTTACAAAAGAGTCTGGGGATGTAAAGTACAGCATAAGAATATAGTCAATAATATTGTAATCACTATGCCAGGTGGGCACGAACCCACTAGGGGAATCACTTCGTAAACCATGTAAACGTCCAACCACGACTCTGTACACCTGAAACCAATATAAGACAATATTGAACGTTAACTCTAACTGGAAAATAAAATAAATGCAAAAAAAATGGACGGATAGTTTGGGGTGATTTTCAGGAACCGGCAGGGGGCTTGTGGAAAGAGCAACTTTATTTTGCTCTTCAGGTTTATTGCCAAAGCAATGCCATTACCCTTGCTGCGGGCACAGCCAGTTGGTTTTGGTGGTGAGTGAGCCAAGCAAGCTGTTAGGAGCAATGCCTGAATGTGGTCGCTGAGAAAATAGAATTTTTACTAAAAATTCCAAGAAGTCAAGAGGTTTCTGGGTAATGTACAAATCACAGAAGAAAAATCTACTCTTTTCAGGCCAAATGTTGCCTGTCTGGTGATATACCGTAATAAGGCCAGTAAGCCATGAGGCCATCGTGCTGTTCAAGCTGCTCTAAAGTGTCCAGTGAAAGACCTAAAGCTTTACCAGAAACACGCTCAGAAACTCGCTCAGAAACCCTCACGGAATAAGCAGGAGGAGGGACAGGCAGGTCTTTGTATCAAGCTATTTAGGAGCTTCTTTCTTGTAACCTAGGAAATGTCTCTCTCCAGGAGGAGTCGTTGCTCTTCAATCAGAACTTCTGGAAGCCAGCTTTCTTCCCAGCACCTTGCATTACCAGGGGCTCTAAATGCACCAGAAAAATGCATTTCTGTTGACTTCGTGTCTGTTCATGACATCCTCTTTATCCTCTTTGATAACGTGGCTCTCACAGAGTGACTGACTCGCTCTGAGCTCCAGAGCTGGGGTAGCAGCTCCAAAGGGGCCAGGGACATGTGGGGAGGAGCTCAGCGCCAGGGCTGGAGGGGCAGCTTTCTCTCAGACAGAAGTGCTGGTAGAATCCATTGTTTCTTTGTTGAGCCCTTCTCCCTGCTCCCTGCTTGCAGACGCAGGCAGCTGCCCCGTCTGAGTCTCCCATTAAACCACGAAGAAACAAGTAAGGAATTAACAGGAACGAGCCTAGGAGGCAACAAGACTAGCTTAGTTATTAACAAGCTTGGGGGCCAAGACAAGCTTAGTGATTAATGGGCTTGGGAGCCAACAAGATAAGCTTAGTGATTAACTACATCCACAGTCAGCAGGAAATGCTGTGGAGGTTTCTCAGGGACTGCTACCCATGATGGAAGAATTCTATGCAGGCGAGCTTAAAAACCCAGGTGGTGAGGGGCCAGGAGCTCGGGGCAGCTATGTGAACTCCCGTCCTTGAATAAATTTTCTAACTTCTATTCCTTTGTGTCTCGGGCATTCTTCACAAGCAGCGAGGGACCAGGACACTTCTCACTGGCTTGTTTTTATATAAAGAAACACTAGCGAGATAATGGAAAAGTAATTAAAACTGGTTATTTCAGGGTGTCTACGGTAACAACACAGGATATGCAGGGAGCAAGTCTTCTAAAGTTACTTTCCTACCTCAGGAATTTAATGAACCTTCCAATGCATTATTCATTTAAAACAAACAGAAAAACTTACACATACCATATTTTCGTATGCTTTCTTGTTATTGCTAATTAACATTTGCTGTTTAGAATTAACTTAAGTTTCTACATAGAAAATCACTCCAAGATTTCATCCTTCAAACATTAACAGGTATAAAACTGCAGACCATCAATCTTTCCAAATCCTTTTCTGACAAAAAAGGACAAGGGGCATTGTAAGAGTTTGTTCCTCTACAGGGGATATTTTCAGCGTATTATATATATATATATATATATATATATATATATATATATATATATATATATATATATATATATATTATAATGCATTAGGGGGTTGCAATTAAGCCCTGACATTAAGCAGAAAATTCAAAGATCTCTGAAAGGCTTGAGGTGTTCTCATATTGAATATGCAGATTCAATTGCTTCTTCCTCACACCCATTCAAAAAAGAAGTCATTTGCCTTAGAAATAGTAAAGCCTTTTCTTTTTTTCTTTTTTTTTTGCGGGGGTGGGGGGTGGTAATTGGGGAAGGGGAACAGCCAAGTTGTTGTCCTTCAATCTTAATTGTGAAGGGCGCAGCTTGCTCAGCTCCAAGTCCAGTCGCCATCCAGCCGCCTCTTGGCAGCTCAGGGTGTTAAGTCCAGACAATTAATAAAGAGGCTGGATATCAAATTAGGGTTCCAAAGATTTTATTAAGCTGAGCTCAGCGACTGTCTCCCCGGCTAAAAGGAGAACGGTCCCCAGGCTCGGGGGTCTGGTTTTTTATAAGGCAGGGCTATATGCAAAGTAAGTTACAGAAGTTAAAAAGAACGTGTAGTTATTCCAGTTAAAACCGCAACCCGCTATCACAACAG